AAGTCACAAGTGAACCCCCTTTCTGCAGCTGCAGCGGCCAAAGTTTATTTTTTCCGATGGGTAAACATGGGCCTTGATGCGACGGGCCAAACTGACTGCAGTAATCCGCAAGTGAGGTTCGTCGAACTAGTTGCACTTCAAGTACCAACATGTAGATGAGTTCTGCTAAATCTCAGGTAGTAAAACTTGAAAATATGTAGAGCCAAGACCGCGATGCATTCCGTTCATGTTGAAAGTGCCTAGCTTGCAGATCTATGATCTATCAGAAGCCGTGGGGGCCCCATGTGACATGCAGACCACGGGGACGGTGTCCGTTTTCCCGGGCCAACACGCGGCCTGACCCTCCACATGGTCGAGAACAGACACCCTTCCAAAGATCGTGCAGAACTGCCCAAGCAGAGTGAAGCTCCACGAAGCTTTGCCTTCACAAAATCTTTGTTCTCGAGTGTCTCGCATCTGGCATGCCTTTGAGAATTTCTGGCTCTAGCTTGTGCTTGCATTGTTGTTGTGAATTTCTGACGTATCATCCCTGCAGGGTCAACATGGAGCAGCTGAACCACACCTGCCCAATGTTTGTTCACAAGGTTGCTGGCTTCCTGATGGAACATGATTCTTTGCTGCAAAAATTGTGCACTAAGGCTTCTTAAGCATGCAGCTATGTGCCGCGGGCAGTGCATCCCAGTCTTCGTCCGCATGGTTGACTCTGCAATACTCTGCATTGTAGTTGCCGCGCATGCTTCCCATGCAGACCCCGCCGCCGTGCCTGTCTCATAGCGAAGTGGTGCTCCTCCCGCATGTAGAGCACATTTTCGTAGCCGCGAAGTAAGGACATGATTTCCCGCGACCGAAGTCAGCAGCACATGGTGAACATGGTTTGCAGGCGATGAACAGGTAACTGAGGCCTCAGAAAGCCTGATGCTGTGGTTTCTGAGCTCTCACGGATCACAAAGAGCATGCAAGTAGTGGAGCAGCTCCAAGATTTGCTTCTGTGTGACGTGCTCAGACGTGAGGTGCAGTAGCAGGCTGGAATGGCAAGCGCAGGTAGCTTGCCTGTGTAGGATCGCCGCGGCTTGCCATTGCAAAGCAGGGCTTGCGCGTCGATACCTCACACCCTGCGCAAGGCATGCATTGCTGGAACCCCTCAAGCCACTTTCATCGCCATTAGTCACCAGCATAGCCACCAGGATTTTCCACTTCAGGCTCCGGAGCAGCAGCTGCATATGCTAAGCGCGCAACAACGTGGTATGTGTGCTACGTTTTGATTATAACACGCGCCTAAGGCGCATCGCGTGGTGCTTCTGAAAAAAATGCTCGAAGTGATTCTTCAGGAGTCTTGCTCAAAGTTGCGTTTCTCAAGAGCCAACCTAAATGATTTCAGGATGCTGCTGCAAAGCCCTGTGGTGGCGCAATGCCTGCTCAGGCGATCCGCCTCAACCTGGAATTCGGTGCAGGTGAGAGGGCATGACCTACGGCACGGTACGGATGCAAAAGGAACGCTCTGGAGTGATAAGATGCAGACAGCTGCCGAGAATGTGGTGAAAGTAGGGAGAGGGCTGGGGATTCAGGCAGTCGGAGCCACACACTGGCTCAAGCCGGCAAGAGCCACGCCTAACAATCTCGCAGACCTGTTTAAGTCCGGGCTACTTTGACGCGAGCCTACTTTGACTCAAGCAAAGAGGCCCACATCTTAGCTTTAAGAACATTGTTGGTGAACTCGATGTCGCGGCGCTGTGCCCCAGAGCATGCTGGTGTACACGCGGAAAGAGGGGCTACTTGGAAGAAAGGGCCTTTACACTGTAGTTTCTCGCGCTTAGCAATTGCATTGAGACGTCGCCTCAATGTGGATCCGTCAGCAAGCCGCGATCACACTTCAGTCCTAATTTAGGGTAAGTCAGCCACATCTCCTGTAAAACTCATGCATTTCAATTGCTGCTGTTGATCCAGCACGTCTGGGCAGAGAGATGGAGATGATGGGGGTGTTGCGGCATCGCTAGACATAGGGTGAAAGACCGTCACAATCTACAAAAATCTTCAGCATGCATGCATCTTGCATGGTAAGAGGCATTTGAAAGTGCAAAGTCAACACACGGTATACAGATCCACGTGCGCCCCTTTTTCTGTAGCTTTGATTGGAATGTCATCAAAGCTGTTGGTCAGCTGTTGGTAAAGTGAACGCTAGAATGATTTGTATCCGGTGCGACAATATGCACTGTCGATAATTGCTGAGAAAATCTGATGTCAAGTTGCCAGGAAACATGTGAGCTCCAACTAAATTCCTGATTATTGAGGGAGATTTTTTCAGCTGTTTTTGTGAGGTTTGTATCTTTTGCTCGTTCTGTTCAATCAAATCGGGCCAGTTAACAATGCGGAGAGGACAACTGCTTGATTCGAGGGTCAACGTTACAGGGAGAACATCAAAAAGGAAGCGACCAAGACTCGGCTGATGACTCAGGGTTCCAGGTGTGTTTGGATCCCATGATGTAACTTGAGAAGGCGGGGTAGAGTGATCTTGACTATAGCTTGTGCAGATTTGGGTGTGGAGCTTCATGCTACTTTGGTGCTGCATTGAGGAAGGGTGCCGACGCTGTCCAGTGCAGCCGCAGGATTACGTCCCTCGCGAGAGGTGCTTGAGAAGCTGGTGTGTAAGCTGTAAGCATGCTCCTGTTCCCCAACACCCCTCCGAAGAAGACATATACATTCACGGATGAAAGAAAAGGACTGTGGTTTTGATGGTTTTGTTCCCGAAGTGTGACCTGAAAGAATCACTCCAGGCAAGCAGTGGCAAGAAGCCCTGGAATTCTGGGCTGGCATGCCAACCGTCCATCTACGTGGCAATACAGTCACCCACAACAGTACCTGGACCTAAGTCAGACAATTGGAGCAGTTCTGTAAATCATGCTCACGCACGCTCCAGCAGTGAGCCTCACAGTGACAGACCAGTAGGATCGGGTAAAGGACTGGAACCTGCGTTATCCGCTAGGACTGGGTCTGAATTCAAAGCAAGAGGCGACGGGGGAGTTACTCAAGCCCAGCGTATTCATCAGAGACTGGTCACTTATCTTGTTGTTGCTTCTTGCCTACTGCTTTGGATGTGCCTCTGATTTGGCTTTCTCCTGATGCTTTCTGCCTTCCAGTACTGCTACTGAAAGTATTACCATTTCTCTTATGACGGTCCCTGCCATCATTACTATCATTGCCATTTCCATTAGTCCTCATAATGCTTCTTACGGTCAATTTCGGTTATGATTCTGTTATGAGTACAAAATACGACTGTTGTTGTGTCATATCATGTTAGTGTTGTGGTTACTAGTGCTCGTCTAGTTCTAACTTATACTACTACTACTACTACTACTGCTGCTGCTGCTGCTGCTCCTGCTGCTGCTATCAGTATTATTAGTAGCATTAGTAGTAGTAGTAGTAGTAGTAGCAGTAGCAGTAGCAGTAGCAGTAGCAGTAGCAGTAGCAGGAGCAGGAGCAGGAGCAGGAGTTTTGCAAGATGAGGAGAATGACCGGCAATA